GGTGGGTGGCTACGGCCGTCTAGCCCCCGGGCCAGTGACGGCCCGTTGCTCTATTTTAAATATGCTGAAATATAAAGGTGCCTAAATATCTAAAAATACTCAATTGGTTAAGGCCATGTAAAAATGATTATGGAAATGCACACTGTAGGATCAATTCTAATACAAGGAGCCTATTTTCTTTTTTATTTAGCATTTTTATCCTGTTGCTAAAGACTGAATTTTTTCAGTGCACAGAATCCAATAATTGTCTGCCTTTTTCAATCTACCAATATTTCAGAACTATTTTATCTGGAAGATAAAGCAAAGTCTCACTTGTATCATAGCACTGTAGACATTTAATAGAGAAGGAAGAAGCAGCCTGACAAAGGATACTCCATGAGAATTTTGTTGGAACTTTTCCCATTCTTGTTAGCTTAATCTTTGTGCACGCTATTCTGAAGATTGACACCACACACAGTGCCTTTCAGTTTCCAGTAGACCAGTGGTCCCCAACCTTTTGGGGCTGCCAGGCCAGGCGGGGGCGGGGGCCGCACGTGCGTCACATGCCCGGGGTAGGGCCCGCACATGCGCCGGGGCCCGGGGCACAAGAGTGGCTCAGGCCGACCCTGGTCACTAGGTGGGCGCACATAAATGCCCCGGCGGGCGCCATGGCACCTGCGGGCACTGCGTTGGGGACCGCTGCAATAGACCATAGCTTTGGTTCTGGAATGTATTGGCATCAACATAGCTCTCACTAGTACTATGATATTATAGACACTGCTATTTAACACCTATTGAAAGGTAATAACTTCAATAGTAGTTTGTAGTGTTGAGATAAGATTATAGTATCATTGAAAGCAAGGCTAGAATATTTTACCTTGTGTACTTTTCAGAATAGTATCAGAGACAGCTAAGACTGACTGGAAGTTGTGAGGGATTTTTGTAGATTTCTTAGGGAACAAACTAATCTTTCAATACTGATAGGAGCAAACATGGGGGAGGGGGGAAGGACCTTGGCCAGATACATGAGCAAAGTCACAAGAACTGCATATGAATGTATGGTCAAAAGAAACATCTGGATTCAAGAACCGTGATTTGCTTGTAAAGGGAAGCCAGAGGAATCTCTTCTACCCGTGTCCCTATCACATGTGTTCATTGGCTCAAATTGCTAAGTGACTTAAAGAATGTTTGTTGATTCCCTTTTCTTTAGCTTTCATCATTGGTAAAACACATCACAAAATACAGCTTACTTCAGACCTTTTATCTGGGTTTCTTTTTATTCCTCCCCTCTCCCCACTAGAAATGTCATAAATGTTCCTATGCAGCAATTAGTTTATTATATACAGTGCATTCTCACCTGAAGCCTGTGATCAAGCAGAGTCTTTGGGTTTCATCTTACAATTACAGCCCTAATCACCCACATCTGTATTCAAATAATTTCCAGTGAATTATTCATATTCTGCAATGGGAAAATAAAACCCCTTATTTTACTGGGTGTCTTTTTCCTCCTTACCTCCTAGGTGCTCCGTGTTATTTCCTGAGGCAAGACATCAGAATACTAGCACTTAGAGCCAAAGGTGTTCTGTTGCTGGCAGTGGAGAGGATAGCATATTTTGCCTGTTGATTCTTTTGCAACATTTTTCTTTTTCCTTGGCTTACCTTTGAGTTTGGTTTTCTGCCTGTGTGGGGAATCTGTTCTTCAGCTCCAAGTTGAATTTTCTTTTTATTGCTAAGCATTTTATAGACTAATCCCTCAGTAACAGCAGTTAGGATTTCCTGAGCCTCAAATGAAAAATAGCCCCAACTCCCAAAGCTACAAGCATCTCCAACATTTCTGATTTGTTGCTAAATGAGCTCTTGATAAATCCCGCTTTGGTTTAGCCTCTGGTCCAGAAAGTCCCAAACTTTCCCATCACTCTTAATGAGAGAGGTGGAATTTCAGTGAAGCAAAAGGATAAACTTAGTGTTCGGGGTGCACTTAGAAATCAAGGATCATGGGGCTCTCCTCAGGGGAAAAAGCTATAGTTGGAACACATAGTACAAATTATTCCTGGCAAAGGCCTCATGCTTGAAATATCATTGACTTAAATTTGTTTTCATTTCATATTTCCAATAACTTTTGATAACACTCATATCTGGTTCATTTTAGCCATAATTTGACAGGTGTGCATTATGTTTTTTAAAAGCTCTTTAGTTTAAAATAAACGTAATGCTTGTGAAAAGTTCTGGATTAACAGCACTAGAGACCAAAGCTCACCTCTCTGATCAGCTGCCCCTAAAGTGAATTCATTACAGAATTTTTAAAAAGTTTTATATAGATGTTCTCTATTGGTACAGAAATGTCTATATAACACTTCTACATTTTTATAGAATCCTATTTGTTTCATCTCTTTTTAAATTAAGGTTATGATACAGTTATGGGTATTTTTTAATGAGATATGGACAGGTCACAGGCAATAAACAAAAATCATGGCCCTGCGATCTGTCTCTGACTTGTGCTTTAAATACCATTGACTAAATATTAGATGGGAGACCTTGGGGGAGTAACTGTTCTTGAGCTGGGAGGCCAGGCCCTATGAGGGAGCTGCTGGTCTGGGTGGCTGGGGACCCGGGGGGCCACCAAGCTGCAGCTGCTCCCACCACTCCCAGGTAAGGTTGTCAGGTATCTGATTTTCTACCAGACAGTCCAGTGTTTGTGCCCTCTGTCCGGTAGAAAAATTCAGAAAATAACGGACATGTGCAATGTCCAGTATTTTCTGAATTTCCGACTGGGTGCCGGACGGAAGTCTGGCGGGGGCGGGGGAGAGACTGGGAGGTGGGGCCGCGATTGGTGCTGGGAGTCCTGTGGTTGTGCGCAAAAGCCGGGCGGGGCAGTGGCTGTGACTCCCAGCCACTCCCCCCGCCAAGTGTCTC